AGTAATAATTTAGATGTACTTGGCATTTAAAACTTTACCCCAAGTAATAATTTTTAATGGAGAGTGCAAGGGTTAAGAGAAGTATAAAATAATTGCTCCTTAGAAGACATCTTTGGTAGTGTCTGTCATGTGTAAACAGTGGAACTTTAGTTTCAAAGGATCATTTACAATATTGCTATTGTGATGGAGTGTGTTTTTAGAAAGGACTCAGTTATATGTACTTAATAAATATTTATTAAATTATTATAAAAAATCCCATAGTTCAATGTAAAACAATCCACTTGTAGTGACATTCATGTAGTTCTCCAGATGTCAAAATACTGTCTCTAACGGCTATTGCTGATTCATCTACTTATAATCCATACAAAATAGTACATTCATATAACTTTTACATATTCCATATAATTCTTAACAAGTATATCATTATTTTGGGACTCACCAAATAATGATATACTTGTTAAGAATTATATGGAACTGAGCTTTGGGTCACGGCAGGTGGTTATTATATGTCCTCCCGTGACCCTTAAGAGAACTATGGGGAAAAGCACTTACCATATAGTTCTCTTTTAAGAGCTCATGACCAGATGTTCTGATTGTGATATCTGCAACTATGTTTCAAAGCCTATTCAGAAATTGTTGCTGAATCAATGGTTACAAACCTTTGTCTGAATACTGGGGAACCCTCTTGTATTGCTTTGTTAAAGGAGAACTATGAGGTGAGTGTTTTTCACTCACCTCATAGTTTTAGCCGACCTGTGACAATGAGACTGTCACAGGTCGGCTCAGTAGATCTGGAGGTGACCAAACACATCCCGGGTTCGCTCGCCTCTCGATCCTGTCACGGCTCTCTGCCGTGACAGAGGGAGGGGCTGGATTCCCCGCTCCGATCTACCAGCGCTGACTGGTGGAACGGACGGGGGAGGGGGCAGGTACAGCTGGCTCTGCCTCTAGATAGGCACAGCCAGCTGTCACTCACGCAGCTGGGCGGATCCCGTCATCTAAGTCGGGATCCGCTGCGGCGTCTCAGTATACCGCGAGCTGTAGCTCGCGGTATACTGAGCTTAGGGTAACGGGAGACGCTAGTTTGTGTCCTCCCGTTACCCTAAGGAGAACTATGGGGAAAAACACTGACTCCATAGTTCTCCTTTAAATAGGGGAGCCAAAGCTATATCAAATCTCTGAAAAAGTTCATGCTGGTTTCCGATTGAAAGGTGTCTGAACACACGGTGCATGGCAGTTTGTTCCGTATGGGGCTGCGTTACCAGACTGGTCAGGGTGCCCATGCTGACCGGTGTCCACCACCAACAACGCCTACAATGGGCATGTGAGCATCAGAACTGGACCAAGGAACAATGGAAGAAGGTGGCCTAGGCTGATGAATCACGTTGCTTTTACATCATGTGGATGGCTGGATGTGTGTGTGCGTCGCTTACAGAGGAAGAAATGGCACCAGGATACACTATGGGAAGAAGGCACGCCAGAGGAATTCTGATGTATTGGGCAATGCTTTGCTGGGAAACATTGGGTCCTGCCATTCATGTGGCATGTACCGCCTACCTAAACATTGTTGATGACCAAGTACACCCCATCATGGAAACGGTATTTCCTGATTGGTGGTGACTTTTTTCATCATGACAATGCGCCCTGCCACACTGCAAAATTTGTTCATGAATGGTTTTAGGAATACAACAAAAAGTTTGACGTGTTAACGCGGCCTCCGAATTCTCCAGATCTCAACACATTTGAGCATCTGTGGGATGTGCTGGAGAAACAAATCTGATCTTTGGAGGCCCCACCTCACAACTGACAGGACTTAAAGCATCCGCTAGCTACTGATGGTTTGGTGCCAGATACCAAAGCATACCTTCAGATGTCTAGTGGATAAGCCTCTAAGAGCTCCATTGAATTGCTAATCCAGAAGTCACTGAATTTACCACTACAAAAATGTAAATGCTATATTAAGGCATTACATAGAATTAAACACTGCAATCATAGACCATAATATGTCTTCATTGAAAATACACTATGGTTTCACTCTAAAAAATAATTTCAGGTGTTTCCCCACCCCTAACTTATCACTGGGTTTGTTTAAAAAAAAATATTTTTAATGGCCAAAGTACTTGCCTAAATCTGGTCACAAGGCACGAAGAGCAGGGCCCTTCTTTGGATGCCCATGTCACTGCCTGGATGAAGTGGACACATCTATTGGCTGTCTAGCAGCTGGGTCTTCTTAGGATTTATAACACTGCAGCAGTGACTTTACAAAGGGGTGACTGATTGACTTTGGCACAGACTTCGGCGCTGGATCTACCGGTTGTCACCCCCAGAAGTGACTCCAGCGATGGATACAAACAAGTGAGTTAGGTGGCTATGATAAAAGGCTTTAGAAGATATTTCTTATCGTACTAACTATTCAATGGGTGAAAAGGGGAGAGCTGAGACTGGAGAGACTCTCCTTCATTTTGCTATCCTCAGTTGTGAATTATCCCTCGACTGCTAAAGTTATTACATTGTTTTCAATTGTTGTTGGATTGTCCTCAGTGATTAGTACATACAAATTGTACAAGCCTAATTTTTCTGCATTTGAATCGACCTTTTCTAGCCATTTTAAAACTGAGCTCTTTCCCTGCAACTGATCCTCCAAAGCCGCTTCTTTTCGGCGCTCTGCCAGTCACAACCACTCTGACATCATTATGTACAATGCAGGACCAGCAGGACCCACAACCCAGAGCATCAGAGGGAAGAGGAGATCATCAGCTGCTAGGAGAGTGAAGAATATGATAAAAAGTACTTGTTAATGGTATTCTATACAAAAACAAGAATGTAACCAATGCAGTACAGAATGTAACCATTGCAAAGATAGTGTTCACATTTCCCTGGAGTTCAGCTAAACAACAACTCCACTAATTGCCCTTTACATCTAAAAGTGGCAATTTACATAAACTCAATGTATGCTTTATTAAAAAAATGACATAAATATAAGCTCCTTGCTCTTTTTAGTTATCCAAGCCCAAACAACATGGGGGTGGAAGGGAATTTGTTATTGTGATACTATGCCTCTGACTAGCTGCAATGTGTATTTGAGCATTTCTAAGCAAAACTTGATAACATAAGCAAAGATAGGTACCATCTTCATGCACATTGGGTTCCAATTTAATTTCTGATCAGGGTGCCAATTTGTAAAAACTGGCATCCTCCTGACCTCTGCAAATGTAAAATGTGACCATACTTGCAGCAGGCCATGTGTTGTGATTACTGTGATGTCCTTACTTAGACTAGCATAGTTCTGAGCAAATCAAGACTTTTTTTTTTTTTTTAATGCTCCAACTACTCCAGGTACAAGGATCACAAATGCATGTGTGTGGTCCAAGCAATTTGATTAACCAATATTTTCTTTCTCAATATTAAAATACATTGAGATGTGTTTCTTTTTATTAGATGATTATGTATTCTTGCCATATTTAGCGGACTAGTAAAGTGAATGTGTCTGTTAGTGGTGTCGGGGAATTAGTATATTATGGGAATCAATATAACCAGCTAAGCAGCATTTACTAGCAAAGCTTGCATTACCTTTGTACGTTCATGGTGTGGTATCCTGCCCCATGTTTTATAGCTGTATGATGTCTGACAGTAATCTCATTTAAGGTTTTCCCAAAAGTGAAAACTGTGCATTAAGCAGCATAACAAATACCTCAAATCAATAGAAAGCCAGCACTTTTCCCTTGTATGCTAATCCAAGAAAATTCTTAGGCTCTGCGTGAGTCGCTGGATCCATTTCTGTTGATGCTCATCAATATCACATTGGAGTGCCTAAAGAGATTGGAAATGGATATGTGAGCGTATGAAAATACAATGAGTGCTAGTCATAAGCAGACAGGATGTCAAGGGACTGAAATGGGTATTGACTGTGGAATGAGAAAGCTCATTTGATTTATTACATGTCAGGAAAGTTGATGTGTGGGTCTCCACTAATGTCACCTCTGGCATTCTGTAAAATAATGTTGTTCAACTCTTTGCCTTACATGCCATCTAGAACTTAAGTTACAAAAGGAGGTTGTTGTTTATTTTTGGAAAAGTTGGATAAAGGGAAAATTGTGACACTGGTAATTTTTGTTTGCTGCTTCCTTCAGAAAGTAGGTTTTGCTTTTGATGGGTTCACTTTTAATGAATAGTTCTAGGCTTAAATCCTTCAGTTCCATCTGCAAAACAATGCTTGTGATTCTGTTACAATAAATATAGCACAACTCCATCTTTCCTAAAGCTGTCCATGCACCAGTAGAATTTTGTTGGAAACATTTGTTTTTGGAATGTTCGACTTTTCAAATAGTATATGGGGTCAAATTAACAATCCTTTTCGACTGCAGTGATGCAAAAAAATTGAAGGAGCAAGATGGAAAATGTTACTTGAATGAGCAAAACAGTGAATGAGGTTTTCATTTATGAACTCCATTTGTTTCCAAAATCGAATGTTAAAAACACTGAATTTTGAACTACATTTATCAAGTCTCTGATAACATTATCAAATGTTCTGCCAAGATCTTTCATATGAACATTCTTATGAAAATCTACCAGTGTATGGCTAGCTTCGTGGTGCTAACTAAGACAGGATATAAGGGTAATCTCTCCAACAGGGAAAGAGAGAGATCACTATGATTTTAAACTCTATTCATCCATATTGGGGCAATTCCCTATACATCCTGTGTGGTCACCAGGACTTGAAGTAATGAGAAATGGGGGACAAATAACAATAAAACAATAACAATGTAACCATAAAAAAATTGTTACATCGCTTTTCATCATTGTTCTAAATTACATCTGTAGTCATCTGCATTGATCGAAGGCTTCTGCACTAGCTTACTGATATTAGTATCCTATTTAAATCTTATTACCCACAAATGTTGTATATTTTGTATTTTCATTGGGCAAATACTGACATGTTCATAATTGTATTTACAAAATTAAGGTATTCTTCAATTGGTCATTCCTTTTGTTTTGTCCAGGAGATATGAATCAAATCCAGTTTGTGCTGACCTGCAAGCTCAGATTCTCCAGTGCTATCATCAGAATCCCCAGCAGACGTTGAGCTGCTCTGCTTTGGCTAGCCAGTACATGCAGTGTGTCAACAATGCCAAACAGGTGAGTTTGGTTGTTTGTTTTTTTTAAGCATTCTCCATATATGCAACTACTGCTTTATTTAGAGAGTTAACAGAATGAAACCCAAGTGGTCTCTTTAAAAGTTTGTACCCATTGCATTGAGTGGCATATACAGTATATGAATTCATTAGTGTTCTGTTATTTTCTGTCTTTGGCATTGTGTTTGGTTTGCTTGTTTGTTTGTTTCTCTGTTTAATCTCTGCATATGAATACTCAGCATGCTTTAAGAATTCTCTAAAATGTTTAAACAAACTACTTTGCATCTATTACTAATATTTGTATTATGATGACTGCAAAACTAATTTATGAGAATCCACAGTGTTTTATCCAAAGGCAAGCACAAAAATGTCATGCTAGAGGTTGCACTAGTAATAGGTTATTTCATTCCTAGCCACAGAACTGCAAGATGCCATATCATTGTCCTGTATTACAGTTTGGCATATACATGGCCAAAATTGTGCCTCAGGTGCGCACTCGCCATTTCCAGATCAGAACAGTTTGTTCCCGGACCAAAAATTTATCCCTAAGGTATTTCTGGGCTCTGTTCACACCAGCGTAGTCTGTTCCAGACCAGACAAAAAAAGATACTGCTTGTCTCATTTTCTCTGGTCTGGAATGCACTGGAACGCATTGAAATGCATGCAAACGCACTGGAACGCACCTGAAAGCCCAATTTAAGCTTTAAAAAAAACCCGCTCTGGAACACAGCAACATCACGGTAAAATCTGGTCCGGAAAATGGTGGAAACTTAGCCTTAGGCAGGTGTGAAAAAAGTAAGCTGTAAAGTAAGAATGTTTGGGATTACGTGAAGAGAAAGGAGGATTTGAGGCAGCCTACATCCACAGAAGATCTGTGGTGAGTTCTCCAAGATGTTTGGAACAACCTACCCGACGAGTTCAAAAACTGTGTACAAGTGTACCTAGAAGAATTGATGCTGTTTTGAAGGCAAAGTCGGTCACACCAAATATTGATTTCTAGGGATGCACAGATACTTTTCGAGTACCAGTGCAGATACTTGGCATTTTCATGAGAACTACCAGGGTTGCAGCGGTTGCAGCTGGGACCTGGCTCTGGCACTCCACCACTGTCCTGAAATCATTAGTCTGTATTGTTTTAGAAAAACTGTCACATGACAATAAACAAAAATGTATCAGTACTTGTAAGTACTTGGCAAGTATCAGTACTCGTACTCGCAAAACTGGTATCTGTGCATCAATTTATTTATAAAAACAAAATCGTACATTAAAACAGAGATGTACAAATCCAAGGAGCTCCGTGTGCTCCTTACACATGACAGCTGCCTCCTAATTTTTGAATTTTTCTCTAGTGTAGTCTTGGAGCTCAAAAGTATCGGTACTTGTACTCGTACTTGTACCGAGTACTGTACTTGGTATCTGTGCAACCCTATTGATTTCATTTGGATTTCTCTTTTTATTTACTTTCCATTTTGTTAATTAATAAAAATAAACTATTAACACTTTTATTTCTGAAAGCATTCTTACTTTACAGCATTTTTTCACACCTGCCTAAAACTTTAACTTTTGCACAGTACTGTGTGTATAAAAAAATGTAATCTGTGTATTTAGTTGTTTGCCTGGATTTTAGCTTTAAGCCATAACTGATTACATATGACAAACACACAAAGAAACAATCAGAAATAGTGATACTAGAACAGTTGTCAGAGCAACCCTGTTACTAGGAATTCAGTATCCCCTGATATTTAGTCAAATGTTCTAGATAACAGAGATTTCCTTTTGCCACAGTCCATTTTACAGAGGAGAAGGTGCCATATTGCCAGAAATTCGGTTATTGAGGTACTATATACCATGTCACCTAGGTGTCATGTAGCCATATACCCAAGATAGGGTGAAGAGGTTATTGAGGTGCTATATATCTTGTCGCCTAGGTGCAATGTAACCATATACCTAATATAGGGTGGGAAGTGTTTGGGCCTTGAAAGTAGGTGTTTTAAAAAAAATAAACTATTATCTAATTATCCAGCCCAGGTTTTATAAAGTACCAGCATATCTTGTATTTAAACAGTGCGGCCTTTGCATCAGATGCTAAGCTGCAGCAAGTGAGGATCCAGAAAGTGGCTGAAAACCTATAAATATAACATTACTCCTTACATAGCACTAATAATATCATTACATAACACTGTATAAAGTCCTCATACGAATGATTGTATCTGTAAAGGGGTACAATAATATTATAGTCCCAGTATATTGATTCATAACTGGACTGAGCTATGAGATCATTGCAGTCTCACAGAATGCCATTCTGCAATCCAACTTCATAAACTATATAGGAACATGTATCTAGAAGGGCCATCACCTCATATTTTTTTGAAAGCTGCAGAAATGCATGGAAGCTTATTTGAGTTGTTATCGATCTGTCTTACAGTTGCAAAATTCTGTATATTGCTTATTGCTATAAGCAATGGGACCGTTGTAATTGTAGTGTGTTTAGGAGCATATACTTTTTAAATACCCTGTACAATGCAAATAATGTCAAAATGTAATAAGGATATGGTATATTGGGCAGGAATCATATACATGGCCTCTGGTTTTGATGCCAGATTCAACCGTATTAGTTTACAGCTTTTTTGTATTTTAACAACACAAGATGTTAATAATAAGTCTTGGTACTATCCCAAACTTCCACTTTTCAGCTCCTGCTGATGTGTTAAGTACATCAATGGTTTAATGTAATTTGGTGAGTGTTAAGTTCAAAATCGAAATTACTGATCACCTTCAAATGTTTACTTTAATTTAAAGCTTACCCAATCTGGAACTTTTTAGTAAAGAATGTTCCTGGCTACTAGTTAAGAATATGGACTTAATGTCACAGACTTGGCCTGGCATTGAGTGTAGGAAAACGTGTAAAGCACACTTAGAGCCATTCAAGCCACCGGCCACCACCACTGCAGTAGTGCATGCACATCCCCTTCTTATGTGTCGTGTCTAGTTTGGTTGCTTTAGAAAAGTAGTAATTGTGGGGTCTGCACTAATATAGAGGAATGGTTGTCTAATTATGCTTTCAGCCAATAAATCCTGTGCCGTGTGTCCCACATGTAGGACATACATTTGTACAAGATATGGTTACTCCCCGGGATTATTAAGAATAGTAAGGCTTTCTGAAAAAAAGTTCTCATATGCACAGACACAGGTTAGTTGAATATACATATCAGGGTTTCCTGTTGTCTGAAATCCATTAAATATGTTTGTCACGAGTAAACAGGAAATGTTTCTTTTTCTGCACATTGACAATATTTTATACTGACTCCGTAAATATCTTTCTGAAATTCATAAACTCTAATGAATAGCTACAGTGTTATCCAGGTAACTACTGTGGTTAAAAAACAATGTCAAAGATTTAAGGCATGTTTTCTCTCACCACAATACTACAACGTGCAAATATGTTCAATACTTCGATAGTGTCTTTACAGTCTTGATATTTTAATCCTGCTGATGGCACTGTTGCTATACATCTATAGCTTCATATATTCCCAACTAAGAGTAACATGGAAATGGTTTCTCTCATAGATTTCTACATTAAGTATATTTTAGATGATGTAATGATTTTAATTTTATCTTTTTCTTATGGCCCTATAGATACATGTTTTAATGAACAATGTAGACACATTTTCTGAATGCACACCTCTGCAAGCTTACCTCTTCTCTAATAATCATCCTATACGTTTTTAATCAGTGCTGCAAAATGTACCTTTCATCAGTAGCCTTCTCTGGAATACACTTCCATTTCTTCTAGACTTTTTGAGCCTCATCTTGTATGTCTGAAGTAATGGCCCAAACAAGGAAGAAATACGTTTTCATTGCAGTTTTTATTCGTATTGGTTGCCTAGGGTAAATACAGTGCTTATTTGTATTTTTATATTTATATAGATGCTAAAAAACTAGTTTAAGTTGGGGGAAAAAACAGCAAGGCATTAATCATTGTTATAGAAGTATATAATTGGCCAAAGCCAGTTTTTTTTGTATTGTTTTTTTTAACCCCTTAGTGACAGGAGACATACACTGAGCGTCCACGCCACTAAGTGCCCAAATGACTTATCACGTACACTGTACGTGAGTAGTCACTTTCCAGTTCAGCTATGTTGTCCTAGATTGTTCACTTCTCCTGCCTTATCCAAACTCTTCACCCTTTTGTGAATAACCCTGTTAGTGACAGTGAATTTGTATGCCACCTTATTTATTGTGGTAATGTAGAGGTGCAGCGATGATGTATATGTATGTACATTTTCATGACTCACATTGCAGGCTTTCTTCATTTTTCCATGGACTTTTTTTTTTATTAGGCCTACAAATTCAAAACTTTCCGCACAGGAAACTCAGTCTGACTCTGGGGTCAGATTGTAAAGCAGCTGAACCCCTCCATGTGAGTCATTGGAACAGGGTCACTGAACACCAGCTCTGCCTTTTCGTGTAATGTCCAGGGGGGAGAGAGCTCAGTTGTAATTTAAACAGACTACTTTCAGGCAGCCATTTCCATGAAGAGATGAAGAGGACATCTAACAAAAGTACGTTTCTGTGTTCTAATACAGCAACGGCATATGACTTCTTCATGGACACTTGGTGTACATTGCTGGCATATGTTTTTTAAAAATACCTCCGCAATGGTGAAAAGGTGCAGCTGCAATTATGGTTTGCCAACCTTGTGATTTTAACAAATGTTTCAGATTGCCCAGTCTGGCTGGTGACGCACTTGATTCCTTCTTCAGCAATGTGGATTCCTGTTTTACCTCTCTGCCTGCTCTTTGGACAATCAGTCAACATTATTACCTCTGTCCAATAAGCAGGGAGCAAGAACAAGAAGCTTTAGTGTTTAAACTAGTAGCAGAGTGATCTTATTGGCTTGAAGAGATGTGTGAGTCACAGGGAAGGCTGGTATTTACCTCTTTAACCTGGAGTTCCACAGATCTAATGTCTATATGATTATGTGATTGGGCAGTTATTTTCTTT